ACAAAAGGTGATGGACATGAGCTTGGTTTCTTAATTTTTCAACATTTCATTCAAAGTTTCATCATAAAGAGGTGATTTTTGATATATTGAATTTTGTCCTGGAAGATTTGTTTAGCCATAGTAATGTATTAAGTTTGACTCTTCAACAGTATTTTTTGTTCTGTCTTTACCTAGTTCTCACCATTTAGAGATCTTTAATTAAACTTATTACTAGCATACATCCTACCACTGCATAGAAATCTAATCTGTAAAAGATCTAACTGTAGTGTTGATTTCAAAAATTGGTGAACAAAAAGATGTAGTCTAATCTAGTTGTACGTGTAATTCCCACTGTGGATGAAAACGGTTCTCCACATGCATTCAAGAACAGACCTGTGTAAAGCCTAATATAACTAAACTATCTCCAGTAGGATAGCATCTTCATTGTTAGTAAGAGCGTAAGTTAAAAGGTAAGGTTTTTGGGGGGGAACAGATATGCTTAGCTCATCAGTTCTCTGGTGTGAATTCTCTTCTGACTCTGTCATGTCTATATTATACAGTTTCCTCTGACAGTTATCCATACAGAAACAGAACAAATCAAATATGGTTAAAAGCCTGTTGCAACTTTTTCAGTTCAGTTTGATTCAGTGATGGAAACTGTCAAGCTCCTGTTTCACTGGGCCTGGCCCAGATTGAGTTAAACTGTAACAGTCCAAAAGATGGTTTATGGTTTGCTTTCGACTTCTGCATAAATGAAGGGCATCTTGTGTGTCTGTTTCTTTTAAGTCTCTCTCAGAAGAAAGTGGAATTATAGCAGAATGCTGATGCCTTTATAGTTAATGGGCCAGATTCTATTCCATCTCCGTCTACGTGTGCATTAATGTGTTTTAGTTAATGTGCATTAAATCTAGTGCTTCTGGGTGCATATACACAAGTGTAGAGGCTGCTCCAACATGCTGGAATTCTGATTAATTGAGTCCGATGGAGTGTGGTAATTATTGCACTGCAGCAGTTTCCTGCATCTCATTATCAGTGTTCCCACACTTAAAAATGGCAGCAGGGGCTCTTGAACTAAAGCTCATCGAACAAGCTTTAAGTTAAGTGCCCCCACCACCTTTTTTAAGCATGGAGACACTGATACACAAGACATAGTGGTGTTTTAATTAGAGAGGCTTTTAGATAGTGTAGATTCCCCAAGAACAAGACATGCTTGACAAGTTGAAATTATATACCTTGATTTTTAGCAAGTTTTTTCACTCTGCATCCTCCTTAAGCTAAGGAAACACAGTAATTTTGTCTAGTCTATAGGTGGATATGTAACTGGTTGGATCATCATGCTTAATGAGCATCCATGGCTGAATGTCTAGCTGGGAGAAAATATCAACTGGAGTTCCCTAGAGGTGTCTGTCCTGGGTCTGGTAATGTTTAATACGTTTATTTAATTATTTGGATGAGTACACGCTCAAGAAGGTCCCCTAAGGTCACAGCTTTATTAATGATGGGATTGAGTAGATTTGCAGGTGACACCAATCAGAGTGACCTGGATACATGGGAGAAATGGTCTAAAATCAATCAGATGAAATTCAGCAAGGACAAGCGCAAAGTCCTGAACTTGAGACAGAATAATTTCATGCACAAATACAGACTAGGGAGTGATTGGCTAGGTTGCAGTACTGCAGAGAAGGACCTGTGAGTTACAGTAGACCATAAGTTGAATATGAGCCAATAGTGTGGTGTTGGTGTTGGGGAAAGAAAAAAAAAAAAAGCCCAACAGTATACTGGGTTGTTATTAATAGTGTCAGTTGCAAATGAAGGGAAGTAATTTTTTTGCTCTATTCAGCTATGATGAAGCCTCACTGAGTATTATGACCAGTTTGGGGCCCCAGACTTCAAGAAGGACATGGACAGATTGGAAAGAGTCCAGCACAGAGTGACAGAAATGATTAGAGGCCTGGGACGGATGATTTATGAGGAAAGACTGAAAGAACTAGGACCATTTAATCTGGAGAAGTGAAGACTGAGGGTGGATTTGATAAGTCTTCAAATATCTGAAGAACAATCATGGAGAAAATGCACACAGGCTTTTCTTTGTGACACACATAACAGAATTTTCTGTTTTTAAAAAGCTTTGTCCTTGTAAATTTAATTTGCTACTCCTAAATGTCAGCCTAGGATCTGAAATTCAAATTAGATTGTTTTTGAGCTTGTATACCACCTCAGCAATGGAAAGTTCTGCAGTCGAAATTTGGAGGTACCTAAGTTTCCTGAGTGGTGAAAGAATCTACCTGACACTCTCCCATCACTGTGTTGGCTCACTATGAGAGTAAATGAGAATAAAAAATATATTTTTTCTTTTATTGAAAAAACACTCCCTGAACAGAAATTGTGGAACATGGTGCCATTTTACACTTTTTTTCTGATGGCTTCATGAGGCCCTAACCAGGCCCCGTACAATTGAATTGGGACCTGACTCATACCAGCCATGTGGCAACAGGGCCAATCCTGATCCAGCCATGCGGGGCTTAGAAATTTGGCAGCGGGGGAGCAGTTGCAGTATTAATTTCTACTTCTCTTCCACTGCCAAATTTCCAGATCAGTGGGGAGACCCTGAGGCCAGATTTATGAGTCCACAGGTAGATCTGTCTTGAGCACCACTGTCCTACATGATGGGTTTGTTTGACAGTGCCACCACCAGTGTTACCTGCTGCTGTGTAGTTTTCCCATTTTGTTGCTGATATACAGCATGGGTAGCCACTTTGACATTAGTTTCTGAAACATCCTTGTATATAAGTCTTTCATGTTTTTCTAAGCATTTTGTGTCAGCTGATGCTTCATGTGAGGGCAGAGCTCAGGAGTTTGCTTGTAGTGCTAATAGATAGCAGTTTGGTATATACCATATAGGATTGTTGCATGAATCGCATGAACTGTGAAATGGACTTAATGTCTGATTCTGAATGCTACCTGTTGACTAGTTTTCAGCAATGCTGTGAATAAACTCATGAGGATCCCTCACAACTTAGGTCAAATTTAAGGAGTTTTGGCTGGGATTCAAAATGAAATTATTATGAAAAATACATATTTCATAGATCAGTAAAAGAACTGGGTTATCTTAGAAAGATTTTAACACAGGAGAAAGTGTCACAGTAGGTAGGTCAGAGAAAAGATGCCAAAAGTCCTGAGGAATATCTGTCCTTTCTACTTCTAACTTCCTTGCTCCCTAGGACTTGTATCTAATGGACGTGACCATCGGTATGGCTCTCACCTACGGAATGCAGTTGTTTGACTATCCCCAAACCTGAGCACAGACCTGTGATCCTCCCCTACCAAGCATGCTTTGCAATACTTGCTAGAGGGCCACTGTCTGCAGTGACCAGTCCCTCCCCTCCTTCATGCACCCCTGTCTGCCACTGTAGCAGGTCTCTACCATAAAGAAAACTGTTGAAAGCAGACATTTGGAGCCCATACAGGAGAGGCAGGGGGTTTGGGTGCACTTTGGTGGTAGAGGCAGATGTTGGTACTTGAGGGCAAAGCTATCTGTCTTGGCAAGTGGGAAGGTTTGCTGAGGAGCAAGTGCTGATGATGGGCATGCAGGTTGCCCTCTGCCAGCTTCTTTTCTCTGGCTGCATCATGGGTTCTGGGCATCTAGACAGAAGCTTAGCCAGGGGGAGAGTTTTCTTGGTTTCACTTGGCCTTGGTTTCATTCTTCCCACCTCCCAGCCCCTGTGCTGATGAGGCAGGAGCCTCATGGGCAGGGTGCGATTCAGGGGCTAGTTTTCTAAAACCCTTCAAGATTAGATCATGCCCTCAGAGCTATCCCAGTGTACAGCAGTCCATTAGTGCCCCGTGGTGACAAGACTGAATTGCCCCAGAAGCTAGGCACCTTGTAATTGCCTGGGAAATTCTAGGACAGCACCTGAGTGAATGCACAGCATTTATCTCCATGGCCCCTGTGCTTTGTTCCCCCAAGGTCACAGCTTAATTGCCACTTCCACCTGTATACCGTGATTTGGAACAGCCTGTATGGGTGGCAGGGGCCCATGGTTGAATGGACACCTGGGAATTGGCCCTCCACAAGCATGGGAAGAAGCTGGAAACCTAGGTAGTGTTGGGGCGACCCCCACGGTTGCTATGACTTGGCCATGGCAGGCTCTGACCCACATGCCAGCAACACCCCACTCTCCTGCCTAAATTAAAGCATACCACCAAATCCCAAGGGGATCTAATCTCTTTGATGCCCTAGCAGCAATATGACCTGTGGGGAGAGGTTCCTCTGTCCCCATGTCCCTGCAGTAGAGCATGGAAACTCACCAATGGCAGCAGTAGCTAGGAGTTCAGGCACACTTCCCTTACTACGAGATCCCAGAGGTGTAAGGGTAGGATGATGGTTTGCTAATGGGGATTGTGAGATGCCAGTCAAGGGAGGGATGTGGAAGACCCTTGACATGGTCATGAAAAAGGAGGCCTGTGGAAGGATGGCTTCCCTGTGATCCTCTGAGATTGCTTTCTGTCCTCCATACTGCCCTCAATGCTGGGGCCAGGTCTGATATTGACACCACATTATGCCCTGGTGCTTCTGTGACCGTCTCATAACAACTGTCCCCTGACTTTGGCCACCATACCTCCAGGTCCTGGCTGGGAAACAAGCCCTGGGATGCTTCGTACTCCTCCTGTTCCTGTGCCTGCCCAAAAATGGCTGCAGCGTAGGCACTGCAGACCTCCTCCCTTTCCTACTCTTTGTGTGTGCTCTGGTGTTTCCTGCCCATCCTCAACACACTGATATTGATGGTATGGTGGGGGTTCACACCACTTTCTTCTGCAAGGCTATGGTAGTCAGGCATGCTCCTGATAGTACTGTAGTGCCCCTGGAGCCACCAGAAGTTCAGCTGGCACCCTAGATCTTGAATAAGCCCTGATCCATTTGGTTTTGGAGCTGTTCTGGTGCCAATCACTATTGTGGCCCCGGGCTGTCATTTCAGCAGCAACATGCTTAAAGATGGCCTAATGCCTGTGGCCCTGGTGGAGAGACAGCCCCAGATGGCAAGAAGGTCCTTCATCTTGACCTGCATGCCAGTGGATCCCTTGAAGACTGAGGACATACTGAGTGGGTTTGTTGAAATTTTTGCAATGCATGGATTATATGATTTGCCAAATATATTTTTATAAAAAGTCATTCCCAACATTTCTTAGAGGTACATGCAACCATTTGGAAATTTGTAATTGGTGTGTCAAAAAGCTTTGAACACAAATACAAAATTACACGAATCATGGTATAGAGCCAGATCTTTAATCAGATTAAGTGGCATATCTCCACTAATTATCTGGAGGACCTGATTCTTTGTTCTGAAATGAAACATCTCCATTATAAAATTATACACCTGGTCTGCTTGTCTATAAAGGGCTATTTAAGCTTCATATCAGTGCCTAACTTTCAAAACTAAGGCTCAGGCAAAATGCTAATCCTATATAGTCAGGGAATCTAAATGTTCGGTGGATCTTTGAATTAATAGTATTGACACATGGAAAATGTAATAGAAGTCTTGGAAAAACAAACATGATGCTCTAGTCCCCGATTCTGCCAGTGAGCCCAAGTGGGTAGACCGCTATGCCTCATGGTATCCAATTTAAATCAGTTGGACATTAAAGAGGCCTGAGCACCTGTGAACATATTGTTGTCTGAGTAAAGCACAGTAGCTTGGAAATCTGGGATGAAATTCTGGCCTCAGTGTAGTCAATGGGAATTTTGCCTTTCATTTTAATGGAACCATGTGTCATCATGGACTTAATTTAAAGTGTCTCTGTAGAAGTGGTTAACTTAGCACTTTGGGCCTGATTTGCAGAGGTGTTTAGCACAAGCAGCTCCCATTGGTTTCACATGAATTGAGGTGACTCCACACCAGGGGTGACTGGTGCCTCCCGGGTTGGGTGGGGCACAACTTGTGGGTGGGCCCAGGGGCGGGACAAAAGCCCCACATCCACCCCTATACTTTTGTGCTGCGGCTTAGTGCCCCCCCTCCATGCCCCTCCTACCAGTCTCCTGTGCCCCACACTAAAAATCAAGCCTTAGGTTCTCAGGCTGAGTACCCAAAACTAGTGGGAATTTAAACTTTGTGATTGATCCTTTTTTGCCTAAACAGGGATGCTAACATTAACCACGCAGCAAAGATGTTTTGAGAATGAATTCATTGCAAGTGAGCTTTGAGATTCTCTGAAAAATACAGGAACTAGGGACATTCTAGACAAAATTGTTGTTGTGTTTTTTCTTTGCACTAATTGTGGGTGTCAGAAGAATGAAGTGCATTCTTTGTAAAGACTTTTCAAAACTGACTCAAGTGTCAAACCTACTTCTGAGCAGACTGGAATGCAGTGGATAGATGCCAAACGTTTATTCTTTCTGCATTTGTTTATTTTTTAAAGAACTAATTAAAACATTTTTAAATGAGCAGCTGTTATGATTGTGCATATTTAAAGGGAAGGTTGTTTTAAAATTTTGTGTTGCCCACTATGGTTTGGTGTAACATCATTCTGAATTTCTGGGTTTTTTTCATATGCATGATGTGGTGCAAGATGGCATTTTGATTCCCTGCTAATAACGTTTTACAACTCGCTTTTAAAAATTATATTCAACTTCCCTGGTATGAATATTGGCATTGATGAACTTTGGGAACTATTAATATTTTGAAGAAGCATGTGGCATTTCCATGATTTTAGCACCAGAGGGCAGTACAAGTCAGTGTATTGTCTTGGTCTTTTAGGTGTCTGGATAAGATGAAAAAAGACAGTATTATTCAAAATGTCTTTTACTTTCTTCTTTAGTTAGTGTTTTTCAAATGACTTTTGAAACATTAATAGCTATTTCATTCTCAAAATGTATCCCCTCCCAAAACTCCAACCCCCCCCGCCAAATAGGCTGTCAAACTCTCAAATGACAAATTTAGGAAAACAATTTGCTTAATACATGTATTCCAGCCAGGCAGCTGGATCCTAGCTACCATTACCAAAATAATGTTGTTATACTAGTCTTTAAAATTTTACAGAAATTAAAAACAGATAAAATATTAGAATCCTCACACTGGTTTTCTTAAAAACCTTAAAAATAAAAATTGCCTTTCAACATCTTGTAGGTTTTTTTGTTTTTTTGTTTTTTAAGTATAAATACATGATCTATCTGAAACTTGGGATGGCAGAAGGGAAGAGACAGTTTGCCATTATAATTTATGGTCTCAAGATCCAAACCTGGTTCTTAGTAATACTTTAACAGCCAGGACTGTGTTATATGCTTAGTTAAATAATAAGAAAATGATCTTCAAATTGGTTATTTTTTATTCTGTAATTCCTATGAGTGGGGCAGACACTTAATAAAAAGTCTATTTATAAACTTTCTGCCTGTCCTCCACCTACTGCTGCTGCCTTCCCAGTATCCCAGGGAACTGGGAAGCTCCAAAGCCACTTGTGTCCTGGGGGCTGTGCTTAGCTGAGGATGGGGACTGGACAGCAGCAGCAAAGATAGATAGATAGATTATAATATATATAGGGGTTCCCCTTCCCCGTTATTGCTCCAGGAGAACCAGGTGGGGAGGGCAAAACTGCTCTCTTCCCATGCTGTTGCCACTGTCCCTGTCCCCAGGGTTGGCCAGAAGTGCCTCGGCAACTACTTCTGCCCCTGGAACAGCAAGAAAAGCAGCAGTAGTAAGCAGGGGAAGCAAGGGAAGGAAAGTGTCTTTGAGCACAAAGGGAAGAAGGGGGTTCAACCTGCCTTTGGGATTTAAAGTTCCTGGTGGCTTCTGTGGTTCACTCCAGTCTAAAAGGGGGTGTAGCCGTGCCACCTCACCTCCTCTGGGTCTGACCCTGAGGATTCTCCCTTAGGTGTATTGGCTGCAACCACAGGTGAGGATTAAGAAAATGTATACCCCTCAAATGTAATTCTCCTGTTGTTTTTTTTTCTCCTGTCTCTCGATGCAGCTATAGGAATAATTATTCTCATTTGTGTTAGTGCCCAGCCTCTTTGTGGTGGTGTGGTCAAGTTACAAAGAAACCACCTTCTGTGGAGGAGCTAATACTTCACAAATACTTTTGTGAACTTTTGCAGAGACCTTCCACAGCATCTGTTCAAAGCTGCAGGGGTTAGTGTCTACATAAAGGTGGGCTGCCAGGAAGACGTTCACAGAGCAGTACAAAGGTTGAGGGCCCTGGTTTTTAGACCTCTCTAGGCCCCTGTCTGGCTCCTACCCACAGAGAAGATTTAGGAAGGAACTCTGTAGGGAGAATTATTCAGTATTTCCTGACCCCATTAGCCATAAAATCTGTAGTGAAAAAAAAGGGTCAGAGGTACATTATGAGCTCCATTCTGTTTGCCATAAGGTCTCTGTTTGATATTTTTGCGTGCAAAATTAAATAATTTGTACATGCATGCACATAATTTCAATGTGATTGTACTAGTGTAACCCCAAAATAAATGATTCTTTGATTTATACCACATGCATCATCATTTTTGGCTCTATTTAGGAGGTCTATTAAAATGCAGTTTTTAAATGCAGTGCAAATAATATCCAGCCAGCTGTGTTCATGAGGAAAAATTAGGACCTACATTTTTTTATGTCAACATTAAGATGTTTATAACATACTGGGTATTTTGAGGGGGATACAGAGTTTGCATTTTTTTTTCATAAAAACACAGAATAAAAACAAGTGGAAAAACCCAAAGAGGTTTTTGTTTTCTTTCTTTGACATCTCTGTTCTCCAATTTTTTAATTGCACAAGTGCATATGGCTTTTTTTTAGCTTGCTTTTACAAACTGACTTTTTTTATTCTTCAACTAACAGTCTTTTCTCTTTAAAAAGAATTAGCAAAGGATTATAGGTAAATCCTTTCCAGTATTTAGGCTCCAAGCAGGTTTTTTGATGTTGCATGCATTTATCTTATTTGGATTAGGTTGCTAAAGAAAAATATTTTAACCTAGTGAATATACTTTTCTCAAATTGTTTTTTTACTTAATTTTTTTAAATATAAACTTTTTAAAATAAGGGTCTACTAGTGTGTGTGTGCATGCATACGTGCATGCATGCGCGCATGTGTGTTTCTAACTTCATAATGATTGTAGTAACTTCTCTTGACAGGCTGTGAAATGTGGATACTGAGGACTGGATCTTAAAGTCCCCTCAAATCACATGTGTGTGAGCAAAAAACAAAATAGAGAAAACCTAGAGGGGTTATCGGTAATAGAATGTGGAACAGCTGAAAACATGGAAACAATTTCCTCCCTAATTTGGGCAGATTGGAATGCATTCCCAAAATCCAAACGGAAATAGTAAAATTTAAAAACTTTTTATTAGTACCTAACCCAGCTGCACCTGGCTGTCCTAATTGCCTTCAACCTAGTCATTACTCGAAGGCATGAAGTTTAGCCACCAACAGCACTTATTAATGTATAATAGGAATTTACTTGTAAAACAGAATTATTGGAATGGTGTGATATCATAAAGACTGAGGTGCTGACATTTTAGATTGTTTTATATAGGGATGTTGAGTTATAATTTAGGAGTTAGATATTCCTTGGGTGATTAATCACTATTAGGTATAATCTAAATGTTTGTTGGATGCACATTGAATTAAAGTCTGTAATTATCCACTGTGGAAACATGTTCATGCAAATAAGGTCATGTTTGTTTGGTTTATGAACAATCTACTTTTCTGGTACTTTGTAGAAGATTGACAAAACCTAGAAATGCAGAGGCAGCAGATTAATGAAATGTTTCAGCAAGACAACCTTCACTGATTTCTGTAAAGATGTCAAAGCCCAAGACTATAAAACTGCCTGCAGTTTCTCCCCTTCATATCAATGGTGTGAGAAACTGAATACATTAATTTTGTTGGACCTCAAACTTAAAATCTGTCAATATTATTCTAGTGATTAATGGTTACAGACTTTTACCTACCTCATAAATATAATGTGCCTTGATTACAGAGGCACTGTTCCCACTGCTGTAGTTAGTTATGTCAGCACTTCCATTGTAAACCCCCTTTTTTAGGGGTTTATAACTCCAACATAAAAATTCAGTCTGGGATAGGTTCTTAGACTGGAAGCAAATACAGATTTGCTAAACA